AGGCAAAAATTGAGACAATGCAACTTCTGCATAAATGTATTCACCTGATAAACCTTAAATAATTAGACAAACTATGTCAGTGGGGTAAAGTGGGGTGAACCGATCACAGTTTTCTGGCCGATCTCCGATTTCTAAAAAGTCTGACCTGCCGATTCCAATTTTGTTTTCTAAGTGACACTGTCAGGTGTTATAAGGTCACAATGTACCTTCAATTTGCCAATATTATTTTATTCAAAAACAAAAATGTTTCCAGATGCCTGCGATGATCCTGTGAAAATTTGGGGGTGGGTGGGTTGTTGCAAGATTTTTATAGCATGTTAAAAGTTTCAGAAATACAAGAGTGAGTCTCTGTGACTAACATGAGGAATGGAGAACCACAACAAAACGTTTCTGGACATTTTGGAAACTTGTTTGCCAACGCTCTTTGCAATTTGTCACCAACAGTTCAGACCAATAAAAGGTAAAACCTGCACCTCACTACTTAATGGAAGTTAAATATTGATAAATTATTCTACTCCTCACAGGTCTGACAAGTACTGAGTAAAAAATACCCGCAGTTTTTTATTTTTATTTGAAGCTTCAAGATGAAGGACCAGCCGTTGCTGAACAAACTAACTTCCATTTTCACTTGACTTGAACAACTGGTTTGATTTTAAGCCTCTTTACGACCACTTTAAACACCGTATATATTCAAGGATCTGCAAAAAGACACGACACGTTTAGATTTCAATGTAGTTTAATTGATGATCACCAGGCTGTTTCCCTTTTACAATGAATTTGCTGTAGTTCTAGTTACCAGTTAGATTCAAAGAGACAGACAAATATTGAATATTGCGCAGAGAGAAAATGTAAGAAAGATTAATACAATGCCAACAAAGGAGAGGAAGAGAGAGTCGAACAAAACTGCCAGTACAGCATCTTCTTAACAACATGTTATAGGGCAAACAATAAAAGCACAGCCCGATATAGTATTACTGCAGTTCATGTCGGTACCAGTTAAGACGATAAGCATTTCTCAAATATACCTCTTTAAAATAGCACTGTATTTTTTTATTATTATTTTCATGTTAAACTGTTACATTCAAGATTATAACTAAATAAATCACATGCAGAAAGATTAGATGGGCAGATGACGCCATGTGCTGATTGTGATCAGATGAGATCTTCACCTCTAATGCGGATGGTTGGAACAGAAAGACGCGCTTTGTTCTTTCTGAAGCTTGTCGGCGTTGTGTGTAGTTTCAGCCGTTTTGATAAACTCCTCAATAAAATCAGCTAAAGAGAGCAGGTTTTACGGAAGGCCAGTTTATTTGTCAGTTTCAGAGACATGTAAAGATCTGTGTGCGGTACGTAGTGTAGGTGTGGCGTCTGTTAAACTCGTTTTTTTTTGTCTGCGATGTGTTTCAAGTCATTTTCAGGAAAAGTTGCAGCTTCAGTTGAACTTGCATTCTGTAAATACAAGAAATCTGATGTTTTATAATTACAGAAATATTAAGAAAAAAATCTAATTTTTCTGTTCTCTGATTTGTATTTGTCTAAGTTGGTGTGATTATTTTAATCTATTTTTGCCTATGTATTCATTGTTTTATCCAGCAGCATTCATGTGGTCGTACCAATTGTACATTCAGAAAAATAGATCTCCTCTTCAACTACGTCAGTTTGTAGTGATTCACAGCGTTCTCCTACAGCCTCCATACTCTCAAGTTTTATTTGGAATCGACCTCTCTAAAAAAAAAAAAAAAACAGTATTGCAACAAATCATGACAGTTCTGACCGTGCACAAAATCTGATGCACGCATGAAACAAAAAAATCCACCTTTGACGACATCGAACTGAAATTCGAGCTTTCGTGGAGACGTTCGGACGTAAACGGGTTTCAGGGAAACCATTTCGCTGTGCCCTGTAGTTATTTAGCGTCTAAGCATTTTACGATTATTTTGGCGTGGAACGCTGCATTTCAGGGGCAGCTGTGGCTGAGTGGTTAGAGCAGTCGTCCTACTAATGCACGAGTTGGGGGTTCGATTCCACATGTTGAGTGTCCCTGGGCAAGACAATGATCCCCTCTTTGCCTTCGATGTGTGTCCCATCGGTGTATGAATGTGATCTAAAGCATTCCCAACAGTGGTCCTTGAGGAACGCCATCCTGCATGTTTTATTTCATGGCTAACGTAAAGAATTAAATTAAGTTTGTTTGTTCAAACAAAGATATCTTCAGTGTTTTTTAGCCGCCAACTTACAACCAATTTATTATCACCTAATCAATATGTGATAACTGATACTCAGGAATGTGCATTTATTTATTTTGTTGTAGGTTTTTACTATTTTATTCTACCTACAAGGTATTTTTAAATTATTATTTTTGTCCTATATGGGTGTTTTCTTATTTAAATGTTATGGACTGGGCAAACTTGTCTATTCTATTCTATCGGTCATTCCTGCCTTGTTTTGTTCATCTTTGTTTTATATCAGTCTTCAAATTAAAAAAAAATAAAAATAGCAAAAGGAAATCCTTAATAGCAGAAAAGTTTTTATCCCATCTAAACAAACAAAATAAAAATCCAAACTCAGCTTTTAAAAACGCCTCGTACAAACTTTGGTGAAAATAAATCAGAATGGTTAAATCACCGTAGAGCACTGAAACTTGCATACCAGTTCGGAAACAAAGGACTGGGGCGATGACGCACTAAAGCTACGGTTTCAGCTGTTTTCATGTCTGGTTGTGAATGAGCACAAAATAAAAACAGCCTTGTTCCAAACCATCGTTAAACAGAGACAGTTCCTTATGTTCTCACGCACAAACCTACTTCTGAAGCATTCCTGCTTTCGAACAGCATCCAGTAAAGCCATTATAAAAACATTCACGCTCAGTTTATAAAAGTTTCTCGGGGATTTTTGTCACGGACTTAATTCGTACGAAGATTACAGTTCTTGCCGCTCCGTTTGGAGGAACGTCTTGCATATTTTCCACTCCGACAAGTAAATTCAATTTTATGACACCAACTTTAAACCTGAACAACAAACAAAGACCAGCAGTTAGACTCTCCTCCCCCACCTATAGAAAAGTGCATTCATATTTTGGTGCAATCATCCGCTTGAAGACGTCCACATCGGGTTTAGAACGTGGTATTTTGTAAAATAATTTTGGTTTGATTTGCTTATTTCTAAAAATCTGCACAATCAGTCAGCAATTATTCTGGATATTGTTCAGCTGTGAGTCCTTAGGTATGAACTGAACGTTAGTGGTCCCAACCGTGGTCCTTGAGGAACGCCGTCCTGCATGTTTTACTTGTTTCCCTGCTTTGATGCACCCGATTTGAATAAATGGGTGATTAACAGACTTCTGCAAAACTCCAGGAAGTAATTAAATCACTAAATCATGTGTGTTGGAGCAGGAAACAACTGAAACATGCAGGGTGGTGTTCCTCAGGGACCAGGGTTGGGAACCACTGCAGTCCATGTTGAAGTTTTATTAACTCTAATTTGTAGTTTTAACGTCCCCTTCTCTTCAGAATCACAAGCTCAAGGCACGTACAGTAAGAGCAGCCTCCACTTACACACTTCACACGTTTTTTGTCGTTTTAAAAAGTGACCCCTGCGTTTAAAAAGACTACGGCCATTTTGACCAGCGTGTCAATGCCCATGAAGGGTCGTGCACACGAGCTTCGTTTGCTACATTTCTCACAGGCTTGTTTTCTCCATCGCTTTATGACACAGACAGAGACGGCAAAAATGTAGCTAAAGCACAAGTTAATGACATTTATCTTCTCTATCACATGATCGGAAACATCGGTTTAGCTCAAGTATTGCTGCATCACCACAAAGTGTTTCAACGTATTAAACTGATTTAATATCAAACAGCTGCTCTAAGCCGGCGAACGCACAACCAACAGCGACGGTAATGACGAGTTAAACGAAGATTCTCAGCGAGGACTGAACGGAGCAGAAAGACTTTCTTTGCCCGACGCGTACTGAAGTCACTTGAGCACAGACAGCCAAACAGTGTCAACATTTTACTGCGCTCCACATTCGAGGGCTGATTAAAGACAGCGTTAGCGCCACGCAGCTGTCTGTGAGAGTCTGAGCTGCAATGCAAGCATCATGCGCTGCTAAGCTGCGAAAGTCGAGAAAGAATAGAGCAAAGAGAGGCGCGCCTCCGAGCGGCTGCTAAAACTTCACAAGTGATCCGAAGGAGCGCTGTCGTCACGAAACGTCATTTCATGTCTTTATCAAGATGATCTAAATATGTGCAGGACTGTTGTGTTTTGGTGAAAAATAACAAAAATTGTTCTCATTTGGTCTAAACCAACACCAGCTCTATAATTTAAACTCATTTAGAAAAGTAAAAACGTGTTTTTTAACTGTTTTTTTAATGCAGTTTGGCCATTTAGGTGTGTTAGACCTCCAATAGGTGGTTATCAGGGTAATAGTTTTATTTATTTGTTTTGTTTTTGTGTAGAAATTCTGCAATTTTTGTTGTTTGTACGCAGATAAGAACATCTGTCAGGGCCGACGATGAGCAGATCAGTGTTGTAAAGCTTGTAGGGGGGTTATGATGCTGCAGCTGAGCTGTCAGAGCAGTCGTCCTCCAATGGGAGAGTTGGAGGTTCGATTCCACCAGCAGTCACATGTTGAAGTGTCCCTGGGCAAGACACATTGATGTCAGTGTGTCCCATCAGTGTATGAATGTGATCTAAAGCTCTGATTAGTCTCTACAGATTCAGATTATCTTTAGAGATGTAGTAGAGTGCTGTATGAATGTGCGTTGGAGGTAAATGAGGGCACAGATTGTGTTGTAAAGCGCTTTGAGTTGGCTAGAAAAAAGCAAGTACAGTCCATTTATCATTTACTTCCACAAAGCATAAACTTGTATTTTGATTTAAGCTAACGTAAAGTATTGAGCGCTGCAGCAAATGCTTTTGAAACTGCGACTATGACAGTGATGAGCGAGTGCTTCTTCCTCTCGCTCCACCTCGAGGGGACGAGGAGGGAGACGATGGCGCTCAAAATTCAATCTTGCAGGCGGGGAAAGACTCGTCTTGCATGACGACAGTGCTGCTGGAGGCCAAAACCATGATGTTCAAATCCTGCTGCCTCTCGTGTGTCTGCTGGTACCACTCCCGGGTCACCTCTGTGTCGTGAGTCGGTATCACGGTCACCTGACGGCGGACACAAAAAGATAAAATGACGTGGGAGATGGTGAGAAGTGAGTAAACTAGAATCAGAATCAGCTTTTTTTGTCATTGCACTGAAACACAACGAAATTACGTTTCAGTGCAGCCCGTCCAGACAGACATGGGTAGACAGAGGTGTCTGAGGCTGCGGCCTCGTGGGAGGCGCTGCCTTTTTCGTTTAGATAAGGAAAAGAGAAAACACGAGGAAAGAGGTGTGCAAAAAAATCATATCTCACACACTGTGTCTTAGACAGGACACAGCGTGGAAGAAATAGCAACATATTGATGACATCATAATACATATGCATGAGGAAAGCTGACCGAGGCGGTGAGTTCGTCCGTGGACACTGCCAGATAGCCAAAATAAAAAACTAAAAATGTGTTAAAACAAAGTTCAGCCACAATTTAGAAAAGGTATTGTGTAAAATGTAAAGAAAAAACTAAATTTTAGAAGATCTCAAATTTTTTTTTTAATCAACCTATATCTCAAATCTCAATATTTCAACGATTTGGATTGGAGAAATCTCTGAGCTCAATAAACAAGATGTAAAGTGAAGACTGGATGTGTGTGATCTTCAGACCAGGTCCTGTTAAAGTTAAAACAAGTTAAAGTCCTACCAGACAAAGAAGCAGCCATTTGTGAACACCATCCAGAAACACTTGCCATCTTTTCAGCACTAAAGCTCATTTAAAATGGACCGAGACAAATTAAAACCTGTTCTGTGCTCAGACAAATCAAAAGTTGAAATTCTTCTTGGAAACCACAGCCGCCACACCTTTCACCCTCAAGAGGAGACCATCCAGCCTGTTGTCAATGCACAGTTTAAAAGCCTGCCTCTCTGATGGTATGGGGGAGCATAAACTATCATTTTATAGTGTAAATAATAAATAGCTTAACTATTATAAAATGTTTCAGGACCAAAAAAAATAGTTGGGGACTTTCCTCATATGAACGACAGCGTGATAAATAGATGATGTGATGATACCTGAAGATTGGAGCCCCACTGAGATTTGCCCTCCAGCAGAGCGTCCAGAACTCCCCGGCTGGGCTCGCCACTGCCCGGGTCATTCCCGCTTACGACGTAGTACGCAGCCCGCACCCTCTTGAAGAACTCCTGGTCCACGTTCTTAGCACTACAATGGTTGGGCACATAGGCCAGGTCAACATACACGGGAGGTCCTGGGGGCACAGCTGTGCTAGTTTTCTGGGAGTTGTTTCCTGGAAATGAATAATAATTCAAACAAGCCTCAGCGTGATACTTTCAAAAATCACAGCAGCTGCTTTTTAACAATTATATTTAGTTATGTATTAACATAAATTACACTAATTTTCTCCTGCGTTCTTTAGAAGCTAAATGATGTTTAACAACAAGGCAATAAACCACAAAATTACAGCTTAAAATAACTGAAATAATTCAAGAAGTTCCCCATAATCCACGGGCATGCACACAAATTTATATCCCTGCTTTTGCTTCACGTGGGCACACACAGAAAAGCAAAAGACAAAATTGAAGTCTAATACACTCAGGAGGAGTAAAACAAGGGGAAATATTATCTTAGGAACCATTAATCATCTGAAATGACTGGAGCTCTATAGGTTTGTCTGAAGAAGGGAAGTCTGATAAAACTAATTAAAAACTTTATGATCACTTCACCGCGTAGGACAGGTCAGAGTCAAGATGACGACAAGGATTCAAAAAGCTGCAATCCACAGTCTGATCTAGGATATGAATATGAAAAACCCAGCTCGCTCTATAATTATGTAAACTAAACGCCGGCATCCCCGTCGCTGAGTGATTGAGTGTTTTTCTGCACTGGTTTTAGTGCAAGATATTCAAGTGAGTATGAGTTACTGTGTAGAAGAATAGAGTTAGTTGTTTTATTTATTTATTTTGATTATCTGAGGCCAGGCTGAATGGTGGAACCAGGGGGTGGCCAATGGTTCCCTTGGCTACAACCTCGGCCACCCCAATGGCCACCATTATCATTTAAAGAAACTTAATATACAAACCAGGAAGCAATTTCCTCAAATGGTTGGGGTGGCCGGTTTACATATGCAGAGACACGCAAAAATGAAAGTCAGTATGTTGCTTATTTTTCAAGTTACCATGCTCATATGGTGGCAGCCATCTTGAATTTTGACCTGGCAACCCAATATTCGAAAGTGCCTTTCTTACACCTAGATGCAGCCACACACCAAAATGGAAGTCTGTACCTCACCTTTTTTTAAAGTTATGTTCAAAACATGGACGAACGGACAGGGATTACCCCCCCCACACACACACACACACACACACACACACACACACAGGAAACAAGAAACTAATCGTGTCATTTCAAAGCAAGAAGGTGTCAGGTTGAGTTCTTGGCTACATTTCTGTGTGGAATTTACATGTTCTCATGCATACAGGTATGTGTGGATCCTTTTGCCACTCCGGTTGTTATAAACTGCCCTTAGTTATTACTGCCCTAACGCATCCATACATTTCTATGCTGATGACACAGTTGTTTATTGTCGAGCTAAAACAGTTGCTAAGGCTTTCCAGCTTTTGAAATCTGCATTCAACATCATCCAGACTGATTTGTTCCGCCTCAAACTTGTCCTAAATGCCGACAAAACCAAAGGGATGCTTTTTTCAAATAAGAAGTTGGTCCCAGCAGTTCTTCCTCTGATTTTATCCTCAAATGGTGTCCCCATTGAGATAGTTGATTCCTATAAATATTTGGGTATCTTGGTCGACTCACATCTCTCTTTTAAGCTCCATGTGGAAAACTTGATCAAGAAACTGAAAGTTAAACTGGTTTCTTTTTCAGAAGCAGATCCTGTCTAACCCTGAATGCTAGAAAACTCCTTGTGTCTGTGACTTTCCTTCCCTCCATTGATTACGGTGACATTATTTACATGAACGCTCCTACAAGAACCCTGCAGATGTTGGATGCTGCAGATGTTGGATGCTGTCTATCATGGTGCACTAAGATTCATAACTGGCTGCAACTCCCGTACCCACCACTGCACCCAGTATTCACTGGTTAACTGGACATCATTAACTTCACACAGACTCTCTCACTGGTACATTTTCATCTTTAAATCACTTCTTGGTCTGCTGCCTTCATACATCTCCTCCTACATGTCTCTGCGTGAGTGCAGCTACAGCGTGCGCTCTCAGGACATTATTACCTGCAGTGTTCCCTCAATGAGGACTGAACTAGGCAAAAGGGCCTTCTCCTACTCCACTCCTGTTTCCTGGAATATCTTACAAAAAGATTTGAAGCTCTCGACCTTTGACCTCTCTAAGTGGCTTTAAGAATCTGTTGGACTCCTGGCAGGGACCAATGCTGACATGTTCCTGTTTTTAGTTTTCTACATCCGCCTTAGAATCTAGCTGGGTGTTTTTTTTGTTGTTGTTACCTTTTCCTTTTAGCCATCCTATTTGTAAAAAAAAAAAAAAAAAAAAAAAAAAAAAACCCTGCAGTATGACTTTTTATAACTGTTTATTGTTGTTGCTGTTGTCCATTGTTGTCATCTTTCTTTGTTGAAATCAGGTCTCTCTTGTAAATGAGTCCTCGAGGCTCAATGGGATTTACCTGTCTAAATAAAGGTTGAATAGAGGTGAATGTGTGACTGCATTAATGTTTGTTTTGTCTGTTTTTGTGTTGAAATGGGGTATCTGCCTCTCACCGTGATGAAGGCACCAGCTGCCTCGCAGCCATGAGCAGAAAAAAATGATACAGAAATCGAGTGAGTGGAATTCATTTTCTTGTTTGGTCTAGTTCTGACCATCACATAAAACCTTGTTACATACTAACAATTGCATAATGTGTTAATATTCAAATCCTGAAAAACATTTAAGTTAAGTTACCATCTAAGACTGTCTCTTCCATCACTGAGAGTTCTTTCTCAGAGTCCAGTGGACGCTCCCTGATTTCAGTTGTATAAGTCCCTTATTAGACTGACTCACTGGATGCTGACTACCGCCTGCTCTTTTCAAACATTTGTTTGTCTTCTGTGTTTCCCATCTTCTTCCAGACTTCAGTATTTTCTTTGCTGCAGTCAACAGCTACTCTCCAGCTGCAACGTAAATGATGTGTAGGTGTAGATTCTTAATCATCCAGGACATGACCATCATAAATGTCTTTTTTATTTTCTTTGAAAGACAACTGGACTTCTTTCCTTCTTTTATGAACACACCACTTCTCATCTAAGGAGCTTTTTTTTTTCAATTTAAACTGAAAGTGCAGAGTTCCCAGTTTTAAAACTGCAGTGAGCTGCTATAGGGTCAGCTGAACCCACATGCAAATCACTGACCTTCACTCACTCCGGAACATTTTTGTTGGCCTGGTCTGCACAGAGGTGTTTTTACGACAAGCATGAAGGTGCAAACTGGTTTAAAACGGAGTAGGGATTAAATTCAAAGCTTTGATGGATATGTAGTTAAAATGAAACCTGACACCTCCTCCTCTCCATGTGTTTAATTAATTAATTTACTTTGTTTGTTTGTTTAATGGTTGATGTGTTGGTTTGTTTGTTGGTTGGTTTGTTTATTAATTTGTTTGTTGGGTTTTTTGTTTTGTTGTTTTGT